GACTAAAGTACAACAGTTGATGCTTTGTGCATTTTATTTTTCCATCACATTTGTACGGAGCCCAACATCCTATGATGAATTATCTTTCACTACACAACATTTTGTGGCCCAATTTTGTAAAATTTTTGTATTATGCCCTAAGAGTTCTGTGATACACACTTTAAGATGAAGGTTTTACCAGAATAATTTGAACAGGTACAGGTGGTGTCCAAGCAAAAGAGAACCTTTACAAATTATTTTTAGTAAGAAAAATGCATTCTCAGAATTATTGGCAACTGAAAAGCCTAAACACAAAAAATACTCTCTATCCAAGGTTTTCTGCAGGCAGAGAACACAATTAATTGCAACTCAAATTAGGTTTGGTTATTTGCAGGCAAGGGAAAGTTACTGAGGCTGGACAAGATAGAGTCTGAGGGTGCTCTGGAGCAGGGCAGTGGATGCAGACAGATGTCACCCAGTGGCTGAAAACAGTCAGTGTCCATGCTAACAGAAAGATGAGAGAATTCGGAGGAGTTCAGTCTACTTGCAAAGTTTTATGAACATTACCACAGCATCTTTATTTCCTCTGAAGATAATTTCAGTGGAAATTCTTATACAGATCTGATTTCTTCTGCACGTGGTTAGGTGACACTGCAAGCATTCCAACACAATTTTCATTTATCCTTCCTTCTCCTGCTTTATATGCCTTGGCCCCAATCTAATTTCTCTAGGACTCACTTCCACACTTGTGACAGAATCCAACAGCTCTTACATCCTACAGGGCTCATCCTGCTCATCATCCCACTGGAGAGGCTGCCACACAGCAAGGGCTCAAGAGCTCCGACACACCAGACCTCTTACGTTCTCCTCTCCTGTACTCCTACCTCCCACTTTCTCCCTCCTCAGCTGTCACAGTTTTGCAACACAACAGCAGGCACTTATGTCACAGTCTGCTAAATTACACACAATATCTTTTATTATACCCCACTTAAAGCCTCTTGGTGCACCAAAGTACATCACAGACAATTACACTGGTGGTCCTTAAAGACTATTAAACGCGTTTATTGAGCTATGTACAGTAGTTTGGAAATGGACTAGTGCAGCTTTAAAAAGGAACTGGTAGGAAAACTTTCAATGTTGGATTATTGAGGTCCGACATGATATGGATGCTGTTGCACCGGTTGCTTCCACGCATGTTCCCAGCAACAACCAGAAAAGCTCAGGTCCGACAGGCACAACTGTCATACTTAACGCTCTCACAACTGTCACCCAGTATGGATCATCAAGGAACTCCCTGTGAAGTCCCATAGAATCTCAGCAACTGACAGGGAAAGACAAAGGGTACAAGGCACAGCAGCAGCTAAAATCAGTTTTAGGCATTTTATGGAATATGGAGTGGACAAATGGTGAGAGTAAGGTATTTAACCAGTGACAACAATTTGACTACGTAAACAAGAGCCTGAATATGGTGCCATCTGGTTTAGGAAATGGGATTCAGAGGATTCACATGGTCATCTCAAAATATTTAGTGCAATACAGAACTCGCTAATTGTAAAATAATAATACAATACCAGATTTGGCCTCTTACACTTCATAGTTCTACTAGCAGGAAAAACAGCTACTTCATGGGTCTTTCAAAAGGGAATTTCCTAACAATCCTGGAAGTCTGTCAAACTGACAGATTTCTTATCGTGAATTCAAACAAGAAAATGAGCACTAGAATTATAGATTTTATAGCAAATTAGCTGATATTCACAGCTAGAAAAACAAGGACAGACAGACTGGCTGATTATCAAATTCAGGCCCCCATACTTACAAACAACTAACACTCAGAAGCCAACATCATGCGTAAAGGAAAGGAAAAAAAAAAAAAATCCTTCTGGCCCTTACAAGATCAGTGAAAGCTCTGAAGGACAGAATGAAGTACAGCAAAACCACATGATCAACAAACAACAACAAAGACTCTTTATAATCCTGTTCTTTAGGACAGCAAAAATTAAGACCTTCAAAGCTGGTATCACAAGATTTGTCTAACATTACAATTATTCCAGCCCTGTAAGGCAATCATATTTGCACACTTTTCAAAGCTTTAGGCTCATCGTCCTCATAACTCTGTCGAAAGACGCTCCAGAAAGCCACGCCCCACGCACGGGAAGCCTTCTGCGCAGAAAATCTTTACCAGCGCTAATTTGCACGAACTTTCATTTAAGCTATTTAACAATTTATTCCAGAACTATTTAGGATGAGCCACCACCTAAGAACATTTTTTAAAAATCATTTTTAGTAACACTGTGTCCCTACGGCGAATAACACATTGGCCTCAACAGCCCTCGAAGGCAAAGTGCCTTTGACTTCCAAAGCCACTTGTGTAAAGAACTTGGGTTTCACTTCCCTACAGAAGAGATCTTTTATAATCCAAAAATATTTGACCGCTGTAATAGGTGTAATACATTCATTAGAGTGACACGCTCATCGTTTACTCCCCGCCTCTGAAACGGTAGTGCTGTCTTCTCAAAATCCTCAAGGCTGAGCTCCCATTCATCTCGTGCCAGCAGCAGCCGAAATGCTGCACCAGCGCCCGGCACAGCCCTCGGTGCCACCTCACAGCCAGGTACCAGCTCAGTCTAATCATAAAGAGCAACTTACACATGTGAAATACTTGTCTTTTGTGAGAAAGAGAGGTTTCACTTCGTTCCCCTTCTCTGAATTCTGACCACCAGTAGGTGGTGTTTCGGGAAATGTCAAGTAGTTTTTTTCTGCTACAGATGAAATGCAAAACTCCACCTGCAATAGTGGTGGGTTTATGCAAGACCGAGGCTCCACACCCTCTGCAAAAAAAAAAAAAAAGCTGATTTTACCCCTCTGATTTTGAGCTGAACAATTTGAAGAAGTGTGAGGATGACGATGTATACCTGAAAATTTAAATGCAAACAGACAACATGGGATCGATTTGAAGGTAGGAAAACTGAAATTTCTATTGTCAGCTTAGCAAATGAGCCTTCTCAGCTGCTAGATTTCTCCAGCCGAATACTTCTCTTTAGACTGTCCAGAGACTTTTAAAGAAAAACATGTATAACAATAATTATTGTTTTATATCAATGTAAGAATATGCTTAGTTACAATTTGCAAATAAATCTCTTAATTGTTGATCAGCTGAGCTGTAGGTCTGAATAGACTACATAATTTGAAGAAAATGCTAAAGGCAAAAAGGAGGGTGCAACGAACACTGGGCAAAATAAAATCGACAAACTAGAGAGAAAAGATGTTTGACTAGTTTGAGTAAAAAGAAACCAGCAGAAACAGGGTTAATTCTAGTCTTATAAGGCTGTTCAGCAGCACTTCAACTGCACACAAATTAGAACAACCCTGGGAATCTATAAAGCTTGTTTTATTGCCAAGGACACGCAGCAAGATCTGCATTTTGCTGCTGTAAACTATCCTTTATTTAAGACATTTTAAAACGGAGCCGACATTTATACGATTTTTTTTTTTTTACTGCTGAAATGTCAACAGGTGGCATTCACTGCAGCTTTGCACACCTAAATCCAAGTTTTTACCAACAGGACAGTCGAAGCCGACACATCCATTAAGCGTCGACCCCAGCAAGAACCAGCCTTCTGTCGTCTGGAGGAAAATCAGCTCTGAAGAAATGGAATTAAGGTAAAATGAAGTGTTTCGCAGTACACGGGTACCTGTAATGCTTGTAATTGCTTGGCTTTGGGTGGCCTTTCAAGACATAATTAAAATCTGACCACAGACCGACCTCTTCAAATCAATTGCTTAGACTCTTAACTTTTATTGTATTTAAAGCAGCTTTACTGCCTCACTGTAAAAGGACTTCCCATGAAAGGCAGCAGTTCTTATCTGACTTCCATAGCTGCTTAAAACAAACACCCAACCTTCTTCTATTCAGCGTAATTTCATACGGGTGTCATGAAAATGATCATGAAAATGATTCAAAACATAGCAACAGCTACCGAGTGCTGCTCACTGTGCCTATTTCATTGCCGAGTTCACTAAGAAATAAAAGCTGAGGAACCGATAACTGCTGGCTACTTTGGATAACTTGAATACATTCAGGCAAACTCAGAGCTATATTCCTGACGGAAAATATTCGAACATGCCTACTCATTAGCGGTCTGCTCCTTTCTCTCCCTCCCCGACTGTGCCTCAGCAAGATTTAAGTTGTTAAAATGTAGAAATAAGTATGAGTTTAATTAGAAAACAATTATTTTTTTCACTGTAATTACAACAAGGGTTTAGTAGTAAGATGAAGATAAAAGCTATTAAAAATATTTAAAATTTAATATAAAATACCCTGGGCTATCATTTTATTGCTGTTTTATTTGTTTGAGGTGTCTCATTTGTTTGTTTTTTCTTTAAAATAAATTTCTAGCAATGCTTCAAGTCCATAGCCCTCAGCATTTATAAGTAAACAAATCAGATAACTGATTATTTTCCATTCTTATGCGGAAGTCGGTGCAACATAATTAATCACAAAGAAAAGCAAATTGAGTATAATAATGCTGGTGTAAATCAATACGCTTCTTGTTAGTACCTTCATTTCTAAAATCTGCCTTTTCCTTCCCACTGAAGGCAGAAGGAACCAAGTGCTTTTCATCTCCATTGCCTTCTCAGGCACAGACTCTCCTCCTTGATAGCTTTACATGCTGCTGATGAAATAAATATATTTTTATATATATACACACACACACTATATATACAAAAAATAAAGATCTTCTTCAATAGGCTAAACTCACTCATGTGATTTTCTCCATTTCTACATTTTCCAATACTGAATCCCCAAGGGGTACACGCAATTTTCACAGACCTGCCCTCATCATATATTATCATCTAGAACAAATTTAAATTCTTTTAACTGAACCTTTGTATATATATATTCAAACATTATGTTTCCTACAACCTCAGCTGTGTTATGTACATTAGCAGAAGGAAATGGTACGTGGTACAATGCTGGAGTATGAGATTAATTGTTTTCCATTTGCAAATTGCAGGTCAAAGGACGTTCATTGATTATTAAAGGAAAACAAATGGAGATAAAATTCTACTACCTTCCCACCTGCATGAAGAAACACTGTTGATGAAAAGCTTTTATTAAAGAGATCCAAATACCATAATGGTAAAAAGATTCCTACATGATCTCAAGGCATACAGGAACTGCAAATTCTTTCATTTGCAATGTATATAGTGTCCTGTAAAAAAAATATATACAAAATTTACTATTTGTACTGTTATATTTGAGTCAATTTTAAGTCTAATTAATTTGACTTCTAAAGAATTTTGACTTCCTATGCAAAAGTGTGCATCTTTCTCCACGTCAAGCAAAATGTTTACTATGAACTTACTTGGAAACAAGCAAAAATCTCATTTTTTTGGCATTACCACCAAACTGTGAGTACTAACACCTTTTCTGCAGATATTTTAACCATGGAAACTTATTCTGCCTCCCTGTCACCTGTTATATGTAACAGCACAACTTTTAGCCTAAATGGATCCCATTTGTGTAATGAAAGCCTGTCCTCTAGATTAGCCGATAAATCAGAACACCAACAATACGTTATTGGTCTTTTCCTATCGTGTCTTTACACAATATTTCTTTTTCCTATTGGCTTTGTAGGAAACATTCTGATACTGGTTGTCAACATAAGCTTTCGTGAAAAAATGACTATTCCAGACCTTTACTTCATAAATCTTGCCGTAGCCGACCTGATCTTAGTTGCCGACTCGCTCATTGAGGTTTTTAATCTAGATGAAAAGTATTATGATATCACTATTATTTGTACCTTTATGTCGTTGTTCCTTCAGATCAACATGTATAGCAGCATTTTCTTTCTGACATGGATGAGTTTTGACAGATACATAGCACTGGCAAAAGTGATGAGGTCCAATATATTTCGCACAATGCAACACGCCAGGTTAAGCTGCGGGCTCATATGGATGGCGTCTATCTCCGCGGCACTCGTGCCATTCACAGCCGTGCACTTGCAGCACACCGGAGAGGTCTATTTCTGTTTTGCAGATGTAAAAGAAATCCAGTGGCTAGAAATAACCTTGGGGTTTATTATCCCCTTCGTGATCATCGGTCTTTGCTACTCGTTAATTGTTCGAGTTCTCATAAAAGCACACAAGCACAGGAGTCTTCGTCTGCGGCGACAAAAGGCTCTTCGAATGATTTTTGTTGTTGTCCTGGTTTTCTTTATCTGCTGGCTACCCGAAAATGTCTTTATTAGTGTTCAGCTTCTCCAAAAGAAAAGCGAGCCGGTCTCTTCAAGCAGCCCATCCTTCAGGCACGATTATCCTTTAACGGGACACATTGTGAACCTGGCAGCTTTCTCTAACAGCTGCTTGAACCCCCTAATTTACAGTTTTCTAGGGGAAACCTTCAGAGACAAACTACGACTGTATATCGAACAGAAAACAAAAATGTCAACATTGCATCGCTTTTGTCAGGCTGCCTTAACATCTGTCGTTCCCGACAGTAACGAGCAATCAGAAGTTTGATTTAGCAGTGGTTCTATAAAACGTATGACTGTGAAGTTGTGCCAATAGTGAACAAAATGCTTGCTACTAACAGAAAAAAAAAGCGTGTTTGTATATATATATTGTATTGCTCTACTGAGTATTGAAGGTTTCTATTCAAAATGTTTTTATGACAAGACTTTAATGTAGAAGAATATGTTTTAGTCAGATTATATTTAATTATGAACAGGATTATTAAAAGCTGAGCACTGATGAAGCTTTATTTTGTATTATACATGTATGAATGACAGTACAGAACAAAAGTTTATCAAGTTAGGAAGACTCTAGATGTAACCTGATTATCAGAGATGCTACTTTGCTGGTGTATAGAAGGTACTTCCACTGAAATAATGAAGCTGCCGTAACAGTGGGGGGAAATCATTACAACATATTGATGTGGAGATGCAGAAAACATCGATTCTTTCCATCCAAATATGTTAAGATAAATGACTTTGCTTAGAAGAACTACATAGCACTATCACTGCTGTATTCTAGCGCATCTTCCACAATTAACTTTTTTTTCTAATCTTAGCATAATCTAGCATGGAGGTGAGGTTTCGTCTCACAAATGTAACTTACTGTTTACAACAGTACTTGATCAAAACTATACTGCTCATCTCAAAGAACTTAAGCAAGAAGTAACACTTCAGTCCCTCTTTTAGGGATTGCCCAAGACCACCTTTCCCAAGACAGACATAACTGGGCCTTTTGTCACAAACCAGCACTCGTAGATGCACATTCATACCTGCTTTCAGATTTAAATGCAGGTCGCAAGAGATCTCTTTACATTTAGCAGACCTGTTTTGATTGCCAGGAATGCTGTGGCTTGAAAAAGAAAAGTCACATTCTGCAAAGGAGTATTGAAATTCTGTTTGAAAACTCCAGAAGCCTCAGGTTTTAGAAAGGAAGAACTTATGTAATGGGGAGTGTGATGAGCTATTACCAGATCTGCACTTTGTGCACTGTCCATCCCACCTCCAGAAACCACTGGCCTTTCGAGACTTGAAGCTCTATGTTGGTTGCTTTGTTCATCTGAAGATTCACTATACTAAAAGAAAAAAATTAGCACCACATACTTGAATAACAGTAGTTTTTAATTTCTGCTAGAAAATAATTGGGTTTTAAATCTGATTGATGTTTAACACAAGTTACTGCTGCACTTGTTCAGAGCAAGCTATAAAGTTCCTGGAGATTAGCGTGCAAGATCATTACAGCATCACTTGCTGCATCTCTGAAGTGAACAAATTCATTTCACCTCTGTGCTCATCGACTTAAGCACCAGAACTCTGCAGAATAAGATGCTTTGTCCTATTTTCAAATGTCATATATGAATTAATGAGCACACAAATGGATTCTACAGGATTTTTAAACACAGACACTTAAAACAAGGACTAAAGTTACTAAGCAATAAAGAAAACCATGAAACTGATGATTCCACTCATATTTCTCATGAAATATTTAGAGTTTCCTAGTGGAAGCTTTGGCCACAAAAGACTTGACCTATAAACAGAAAGGGCACAAGACGATGGCTGAATTTGAAATAGCTAGCTAGATATTCCTGCAACTGCAGGGACTGCAGCAACTGTGCAGTGACTGCTCATTAGTCTTAGGAAAGATGTCCTTTAGTCACATCTGCCCTGTAGAACACCAAACACACCTTCCCTCAGGAAAGATGCGAGCATTGCTGTGCCTCCTCTGCATAGAACGGGTTGCTAAACCCTTAGCAAGAGAGGTCACACCTTTGTGCTACCTCACACGTAGCCCTTCTTCCTCATTGTTTTTCCTTTTGGAATCAGCCACAGTTTTTCATATCCTATTGACATTAATCACACCTTGAAAGAGCCATTTCAGACAACGCCAAACTGAAGGAATGGATAATTCTTTTGGCAATGCAATTCCGTGAAGACGCGTCTTCTGAGATTACAGATATATTAAATTTGTGTAATCTGGACACCTCCCATGAATAACTAACTTATTTGAGGTTACAGGAATACGCTTTCCCAATTACAGTTGTTGCTTATTTTGGTGTTTTTTCCCCTCCTTCTCCCTTCCAGTACAGGAATTTGGTTTTTTCTATCAAGGCTGTGGTAGAAGTCCTTTCATCACCACTGTAGATAAAGTGTCTTTGCTCAGAAGCTTATAATAATAAACAGACAGTAACAGCAAGTGTCTGCTCATTGATACTATGAAACAGCTTGTTTCTACATGATCTTAGTCATGTCCTGGTATCACAATGAAATTTAGGAAAGATCAGGTTACGATAGCATGAAGGAAACAATATTTACTCAACCTGAAACAAGGTATTGCATGTTTAAAGCCAAATTACAAACCTAAACTACCTGACGAGTTTCCTATTGTTGATATTTTGGTATACTGTCAATATTTTGGTTTCAGGCTTACTGTGCCTGAAATGCCTAAATTTAAACATACTACTTACTTTAAATAAAAAAAGTACTCTCCGAGGTGAAAAAAGTGACACGCTTCCTCCCAAAACTATTTTTTTTAACAGTAACTATATACAAAGTAATATTTACAGAAATGCCAGGCAATTTTCACATATTTAGATATACAACACTTTCTGCAGCCCATCAGTAACTCAGTACCATGGCTCATCCAGCAACCAAGAAGACCCGTGCTTCACGTGCTTCTTTAAAATTAAAGAGCATGATCATGAGTGAACAAAATCTTTTCTGGAGTGTAGGAGGAAAGGGACATGGGAGTAAGAATCCTGATACAACTTCTTCACTTTTCTCTCTGGTCTCTCACAAATTGTTTAATTTAAGGAAAGGATTCCATATACCTTTCTAAAATGCTGGACTAATAACAACTATGAGTTTTAACAACCCGGTTAGCTTGCTTTGCTATAATAGTCTATATCAAGTCTCCAGGCAAGAATAGCCTAGTATTAGGAAAAGCACACAGAAAAAAGAAAAAGGGGGAGAAAATTCATCAAAGAATCCCTGAAACAGTTAACTGCTTTGAAAACAGCACCTTAACACAAAAATGTCTCGAATGCAAATTATTACTGAGTATCTAGAAACAAAATAAACCCAAACAGCACAAACTAGGACCATTCTGAAGCTGATACAAATAAAAGCAACAGTCTTCCCTCAGCTGCATAAAAAGATGGGAGAAATACAGTTACCTGAGACTATTATAACATGTTAAAGAGATGCTCTAACTTTGCACAGTTTTAGGAGATACACTGAATACTGACTGCACAGGCACGACACATCCACATCTAGAAAAAGCAAAGTGAGTCAGACTCAAGATAAAGCTTTGGTTAATTTATGAAAAGCATTACGTGATGTGAGGGCATGTGACAGGCAATTTGAATCAGTGAGACAGGCGATCCCAGATTCTGTGCAAGACCGACACAATATGGGCAAGATGTGAGAAAAGTCACCCCTTCTTCCCCTTCCAGCTCCACAGAAGATCAGAACACTACCATTCACAACAGTCAACCCACCAATTCCAAAAGACAACGGAGAATATAAAATGAATTTTAGAAAAATGTGAAAATCAGAATTCTTGAAACGTGTGGGTTTTTTCAATATTGTTTCCATCAAATGAAAAAGTTACAGGTTCATCTTATATTCCCACCAATGTAATCTGACATTTATATTAACTGAAAATGGCTTATCTGGCACAGAAAACGCATTCTACTAAACCTGCAAATAGGAAAGCTTTAAAAAAAAAATGAGCACAAAGTTTTAATAAGAAAATGCTTTTCGAATTTCAGACTGTGATTTAAACAAAATTCACTTGGATGTACAGTGCAGACTCTAATCTTTTTTCCAGCCATCAAGTTATGTTAGAAGCTAACTGAATTTTTTCCCCTGTAAGGATTTTGCTATATTCTCTCAGCTGTTTATTAAGATTGCAAAAGGGAAAAGGTTGTCTGGACAATTTTAAATGGTTAGGATTGTCACATAAAAAAGTGTTAAAAAGTTTAACCTTACTTACGAACGGTTTACCATAAGTAAAAGCATGTCAAGTTCAACCCTGATTATCATTTAATTCCATTTGAACTTGTTTCTGCATAAGTAGGAAAAACAAGCGAGTGTATGAAGAAGGCAGGTTTGGATTTGAATAGCCATTCACGAAGGCAAACCAATGAAGTGATTTGATTTTGACTGAAAACAACCAAGATAAGGATTGGATTCCAATTTCAGTGACAGCATGCTTCCCTTCCGCTCCAAAAGTCTTACCTTACCAACTCGGATATTTAAAACTTTCATCATAGAAAACCATAGTGCCAAATTAATTGCTTAATTCAGTCTTTGCAATAGAAACTTATGCTTCTATTACCAATTCCATCTGCAGCAGCCCCCTGGCACACAGTTAGATTTCGCCATTCCCCCTTCAGACTGCTTACAGAATATTACATTCTGTTTAATAACTATGTCACCAATAAACCATTTCCATCTTGGAATTGTAGTTTTTTCTTTTTTTACATTAAATCTGCAACCACAGGTGATAGGGAACATGCATAAAGTCCATCTCTTCTGTACAGTCCTAAGCTCTGCTGCCGGGGAGGGACATCGTGGCACGTGCCCTGCGCTGTGTTGTAAAGAGAGACACGCTGGATTTGAAAGTGTGAACACCTTCCAGTCATATTTATAATTTAGGTGTCCTTTCTTCAACAGTATTGTCCAAACTATTTATCCCACATTGACATATGGCGCACCAAACTTTGAGCCCCTAGCTTTTGGCTTCCTTTTAGCCTTCCACTCCATCATACAGCAGCATGACACAGCCAGGAGCTAAGAATAAAGAGCCGCACAGTGAGCCAGCCACCCAAGGGGCCAGCCCGAGAGCAGCACCTTTCAGAACTTCAGACTCAGCACTTTCAGCTCAGTCTCATACTTCAGTTATGTCCAGTGAATTCCACTACAAAATTTAAAGGTGACTGTCTGAGCCCCACAAAGTAACCTTTGGGTTTGGAACAGTTTTTTAAGTTGTCCAACCCTGGTGATAAAACCAT